CCCCAAAACCCCAAAACCCCAAAACCCCAAAACCCCAAAACCCCTGGGCTATATCTCTGCAGGGAATAAATAATAAATAATTAGTAAATTAGAGATAAGTATGAATTACCAAAATCAGAACGAACACACGCAACCAGAGACAAGAAGGGAAGCTGATAAGCAGATTTATACGTACCAATCAGACTGGGTTGTCTATGCTTTAGGGTTCTCATGGGGAGAGAGCAGTGATTTTCGACTCGCGCTTGGATCTTTGAAGGAAGATTTAAGTAATGAGATTCAAATCATAAAGTTGAGTGATAGCGAGACTGAAGATTTTGAGTGCACTATGAGATTTGATCATGGATTTCCAGCTACAAAGTTGATGTGGAAACCAGAAAGAAGTGCGATGAGATCAAATTTTCTTGCTACAACTAGTGATTACTTAAGAATTTGGGAAATTGACGAAAATAATGTTACCACAAAACCGAAGTTGGAATTAAAAGATACTGCTCAATCCTTCAGTGCTCCTTTGACCTCGTTCGATTGGAACCAGAAAGACCCTGATGTTATTGGAGTTTGCAGTCTAGACACTACATGCTCTATTTGGGATATTCAAAGAGAAAGTATTAAAGCCCAATTAATCGCGCACGACAAAGAAGTATTCGATATCGGATTCCAAGATGTAAACTCATTTGCTACTGTCGGTGCTGATGGATCTATGAGACTTTTTGATTTAAGGGCCTTAGAGCATTCGACTATTCTATATGAAACTAATCAGCAATCCACAACAGGTGAAGGAAAACCGCTACTCAGACTTGGATGGAATAATCAAGATCCTTCATACATCGCTACTTTTGAGCCTGATAGCAATAAAGTAGTAATTCTTGACATTAGAGTTCCTATGATCCCAGTCTGAGAATTAGAAGGCCATACAGATTATGTAGATACTTTCTGATGGGCTCCTCACTCGAGCTGCCATATTTGCACTGCTGGTGATGACAAGCAAGCTTTAATCTGGGATCTCAGTGTGATGCCAAATGCAGTTACTGATCCTATTCTTTCTTATAAAGCAGAAGCTGAAATCACCAGCCTCCAATGGTCAGCTACACAACAAGATTGGGTTGCTATTGCATTCAACAGTACTCTCCAAATGTTGAGAGTATAAATAAATTTTTATGATTTCAGTACCAAAAACTGCAACTGGGGTTTTGGGGTTTTGGGGTTTTGGGGTTTTGGGG